TTCAGTCACTATCTCCAACAGAGTACTTTCCTGACCTTTCTTCTTACCTCCAGTCAGTCTCCATCACATTAACCTCTGAGCTTTCATAAGAGAATATTTTATTCCCTGAAATATTATGTTTTTTATTTGTTTTTTGTTGATTTCTCTCATTACAACAAATATTCTAAAACAAAGGACCTTTTCCACTTTGATTATTACATTTTCAGTTCCTAGAATATTACCTATTTCTTGATGCAAAGAAAGGAACTGGTTTAATAAATAAACATAGGAGTGTGAAAAAGTTCCTTGTACATGGTTGTTCAGTAAGAGATTACACAGCCTCTTTGCACAGTAAAGTTTTAACAGTAAATGTGGATAATTTTGTGTTTTTTTGTCTTTATTTCTATTATGTTCCTATCACACTTGCAAAAAAAATTCATCTTTTCTTTCTCTTTTTTTGCAATTAGTGGAACAATGAAAATAACACATATATCTGGGAACTGAAGACTGGTTAAGTAAATTATGGAACATAAATTAAATGATGTATTTTATGGCCATAAAATAATATATGATTCCATAATGTAATCATGGAGACTTCTCTATCAACATAAGGTCTTTGTTGCATTACATTTTCTCACAGGAAATTATATATACTCAACCAAGTCAAAAATTATTGTGTAAAGCCAATGTGATTATACATTTGAAAGAATTTAAAGTTAAGAAGCATATTTGTAAACTGTGTATTTCTAATGAACCAGTGGGTCCCAAGGAAAATAGTCTCAGAGTGAGATAGATTACATTGACAAAATTATGTTTTCTTCCCCTTTTCTTGGATCTTTAATAAAAGTGGAGGAGAATAATGCTGAAGACTGGCTTCTATCTTTGGCTCAAGAATTTCCGCTCAGGCATATATTGGGCTCCACAAGGAACCCATGCACACCTGAGCCACTTTCTTGACTCCTGGGAGGCTGTGGGTCTAAAATTATTATAATTGAGGTTAGCTGAAAAAGTGGATTATAATAAAGACAGGTCAGGAGATTCTGGTAATATAGGACAGGTAAGGTAAAGATAATACAACCACCACAATATCTCCCTTTATGCCCAAAGGTTTGGAGCAGAAGGTAGTAAGTACTTCATCAAGGAGAAAGGGATCAGAAAACAGAATGATACTGGATGATTAAAATGAATCTCTAGGATAAGTACTTCTTGATCACCAAATCCTACTTCTCTAGGATTTTCCTTTTCTCCAGGAGCTTTATAGTCTTCCCATCTGATCTTATCTCTAGGAAAGTCATGACATTCAGTTGAAATTCTCTATGGATAACTATGCCAATGAAGAGGGACATAAAAGTAACAGCTCATTGATCCCCTGCTTAATGAAACCCTTGGGCAAAGTACATACGTCATCATTTGATATATACAACAGACTCAAGAATAAGCCAGGTTATTGAAGATATCCTGCCAGGAGCTGAAGAGGAAAATTCTAGGCTGCGCTACAGAAAGAAGCACTTGGGAGGAGAGAGATCTTGTGAGTTTACTTTCTTTTCAGATTTTGCAAGCTCAGGAATGCTACCTGCACGTGTCATGTCTAAAGTACATGTTATTGCTGCTGAAGTAAGAAGTAGGAGCTTTGGGATCCACTGAAGAAATGTCAGTTCCTGTAGTGGCAACAGGACAAAAAGAAAGAAATTCCAAACAAGTATTAAATTCATGTGGCTTCTGTGGAAACAGGCTGAATGAGGGTGTCCTAAATAGGATCCAGGCTGTCTGACTTCTTTGCTTTATCACACTCTAAGGACAGGGAAACCTGGCGTGCTGCAGTCAGTCCATGGGGTCACAGGGAGTCAGACATGACTTAGCTACTGTACAGCTATAAAAAATCTAAATATGAGTTTCTAATTCAGGCCTTAGTCACTAGTTCTCAAGAAGAAAGTGAAGACCAAAAAACAGTGAGTCAGAGTTAAGTTATATGGAAAGAGTTTGTGCACAAAAGAATATCCCTCTGCCAGAACAATGAGCCTACTTTAGGGGTCATTTAATTCCCTAATGTGCAATTTCACAGTAAATACGTTGTTTGCTGGTTTGCATTTCTAAATTTGCTTCATTCATTTTTGTCTTTTTTTTTGACTTTGTTGGCTTTTTTTTTCGGTTTTGTTCTTTTTTTAATTTCCTTTTTTTAAAAATTTTTTTTCTTTTTCCCTTAACTTTTCTTTTTTTTTCTTATCCTCATCTTCTTTCTCCTATTTTTATAGGAGAAAATTGTTGGTGTTATTTTAACATTCTCAATTTCAACTTTATTAAAATTTCTATCCATCATTACTATAAATATATAATATAAATGTATATAAAAAGAGCCTCTAGATGAAAGTGAAAGAGGAGAGTGAAAAAGTTGGCTTAAAATTCAACATTCAGAAAACTAAGTTCATGGCATCCAGTCCCATCACTTCATGGCAAATAGATGGGGAAGCAATGGAAACAGTGAAAGACTTTATTTTTGGGGCTCCAAAATCACTGCAGATTATGACTGCAGCCATGAAATTAAAAGACACTTGCTCCTTGGAAAAAAAGCTATAACCAACCTAGACAGCATACTAAAAAGCAGAGACATTACTTTGCCAACAAAGGTCCATCTAGTCAAAGCTGTGGTTTTTCCAGTATTCATGTATGGATGTGAGAGTTGGACTATAAGAAAGCTGAGCACCGAAGAATTGATGCTTTTGAACTGTGGTGTTGGAGAAGACTCTTGAGAGTCCCTTGGATGGGAAGGAGATCCAACCAGTGCATCCTAAAGGAGATCACCCTGAATATTCATTGGAAGGACTGATGCTGAAGCTGAAGCTCCAATACTTTGGCCACCTAATGTGAAGAACTGACTCATTGGAAAAGACCCTGATGCTGGGAAAGACTGAAGGCAGGAGGAGAAGGGGATAACAGAGGATAAGATGGTTGGATGGCATCACCAACTCGATGGACATGAGTCTGAGCAAGCTCCGGGACTTGGTGATGGACAGGGAAGCCTGGCGTGTTGCAGTCCATGGGGTTGCAAAGAGCCGGAAACGACTGAGCAACTGAACTGAACTGAACGTAATCTAAAAATTTATTGCAGGTTTCAGAATTGGAATTATGCCATGCAGATGGCATATGTTCTCATATTTTATAATTTTATAAGGGGATGTTCCTTTGAACTTGATTTGCTCTTTAAGCAAAGAGTTATTCTGAAAAGCAAATTTAATTGCACAATTGTGGGTATGCTTTATCTATCCTTTATATACTAATATCTAGTTTCTAAACTTCTATTTTACTGCTAAAATGAAGTTATTATTCAAAGTAAATATTGAACCATACATATTGACTCAACTTCCAATTTCATTACCAAATAATTTTAGATTTCTCTTTTTGCCTATTCTCTCATTCATTTTCAAATAACAATCATCTATACATGCTCAGAGGTTGCCAACTTCAAAATTTAGAGCTGTATTTATTTTTTATTCCATGTCATTCTATAGGTGTTAGGAGTTTAATCTTTTTTTAGCTCTCTGACATACACTTAAAGTAGTTGTTGAGTAGCATAGCTCTGAGAAGTTATGCATCTTTTATATATTTCCTAATGGAAGTGGACTTTTTTATTTAATGACCTCTCTGGTCATACTGGAATAATAGTGATAGAATTTGCACATTATTTTTGTGAGCTTTCTAGTTCCTGTATCTTCAGCCATTCTTCTCTTGTTTTTGACTTATAACTCTCTAAGGGTACAATGTGCTGCCATTGGAACACATCACTCTTGTATATATGATCTATAAACTGTCCTCAGAGTTAACAGTGAGACTTCTGAGCATGGCACAACTTAGCTATATAATGTTAAGTTCTGCAAGCTCCAGAAATCTGCAGTCTGAATTTGCTGGACAGAAAGAATGGAGAAGAGAGGTGGTTTGGAGGAGGAATAAGATACTGGTTGAAAAATGATTACTGCCTGGTTTAAACTAGTTACCTGCCATAAGTGGGTAGCTCCTAATTTGTACTTAGTCTGAGGAGATGGATACACCCTGGTTTACAGTCTTTGTTGTCATTCTTAAAGTTCTCATTCATTGGAAAAAGCATTTAGAATATGTGTAATCAAATTCTTTTTCAAAACATGCTAATTACATGTGGCAGAGTAGACAGGCAATTTAAATTTAGGAGAGAATCTTCTATTTTACAATGCTTCATTTTACAATGTGATTTCCATTTTAATATATTTCATAAATAGTTCTGGACAAATGAATTTTAAACTGGAGTAACAGAGTGAAGAGGGTAATAGGGTTTCCTGATTGTGAACTTAATGCAAGCTATAATTTTCTCTTATTTTTATCTATTTTAAAGGTACAGAATGGATGAGAACCAAGATTATGCATCTTATCTACAAATCCTCTGATGCACACAAGTGGAATAAATATCCCTATATAATGCATGCATGCATGCTAAGTCGCTTCAGTTGTGTCCAACTCTGTGCAACTTCATGGATGACAGCCCACCAGGCTCTTCTGTCCCTGGGATTCTCCAGGCAAGAATACTGGAGTGGATTGCCATTTCCTTCTCCAATGCATGCATGCATGCTAAGTCACTTCAGTTGTGTCCGACTCTGTGCGACCCCATAGATGGCAGCTCACCAGGCTCCTCTGTCCACAGTATTCTATAGGCAAGAATACTGGAGTGGGTTGCCATTTCCTTCTCCAATCCCTATATAATAGGTCACAAAATTAAATAATTCATATAACTTATACTGCATTAATCATATGTGAATTTAATCATTGGTTTGCACCAGTTTCTCCCCTATTTAGTATGTTAACATCTAAGTTTAGAGATTGAGTCCTATTTATCCATTTATCCTTGAAACATTGTAAGTATTTCATACAGCAAATAAATATAATGTATATATAATATATATGTAAAAATAATACAAAGTCTTCAGTAAGTGATGGAGAAGTGGATATGAAACAATCTAATCCATTCTGCACTTGAACACAACTGGCATTCTTTCATCATGTCACTGCCAAACAATACCAGTATCCATCCCAGTACCTTTCTTCTCCTTGGCATTCCAGGGATGGAGGCCATCCATACATGGATATCAATGCCCTTCTGCCTTATTTATTTAAGCGCTCTCCTTGGGAATTTCTCCATCCTATTTATTATTAGAACAGACTCCAACCTGCATGAGCCCATGTACTTCTTCCTCTGTATGCTCTCTGTGGCTGACTTGATCCTTTCCACTACTGTTATGCCCAAAATCCTCAGCATTTTTTGGTTCCATGACAGGGAGATCTATTTTGAAGCCTGCCTTGTCCAAGTATTTCTCATTCACTCACTATGCAGCATGGCCTCAGGGTTTATCTTGGCCATGGCCTTTGATAGGTACGTGGCAATCTGCAATCCTCTGAGACATTCCATTATCCTGACACACAGAGTCATCCAGAACTTGGGGCTGGCTATTGTCTTCCGTGGAGTTGTGCTGTTCAGTCCTCAACCCTTTATGCTTCAGTGGTTTCCCTACTGCAGAACTAATGTCATCCCTCACAGCTACTGTGAATTTATGGCTCTGATCAAGCTGGTTTGTGCAGACACCAGGATCTGCAGAATATACAGCCTAACTGCTGCCTTCCTCACTGGAGGTTTAGATTTCATATTAATCCTCTGTTCCTATGTTGTCATCCTTTACACTGTCTTCCATCTTCCATCCAAGGCTGCTCGGCTCAAGACCCTGGGCACTTGTGGATCCCATGTGTGTGTGATCCTGGTGGCCTACACTCCAGCCTTTTTCTCCTTCCTTACTCACAGATTTGGACATAATGTGGCTCCTCATATTCACATCTTTGTGGCTAACATCTATGTCCTTGTTCCACCCATGGTGAACCCAATGATCTATGGCATAAGAACCAAGAGGATCAGAGAACGATTCCTCCAGGTTTTGACTTCTCACAAATTCTAAAACAATCAACTCTTTCTGTAACAATTTTCTAAGATTTATGAAGAAAAGAGATATTAACCCTCTTTCTAGAAGACTAAATCTCTACATCTGCTATTTGTAATATAAAGTATTAATTAGCACTGACGAGACTTATTCTTAAAATTCTTGCTTTAGATGATAGCTGACTTAGATGATTTATTTTTAATATATTTGCTTGGTAATGAAATGTCTCCACAATCATGTGATCTTATTCACTATGTTCACTCATACAAGATTGCTCTGTTGCTCAGTCTTATTAGCTTTATTAGAAGTGTTGTTATTGACTTACTACCTCTGACTTTCATTAAGCTGCCATGCATTTGTAGGTTTCAGTTAATTGGGCTATCTCTGAAACAATAAGACAAATTATTTTAAGTCCATAACCTTGGAAATTGAGATGGTTTTTAGCAAAATGTCTTCAGAGAAGGCCAATGCAAATTAAAAAAAAATAAAACTGTCATGATATATCTTACAGAGGCCTTCCTATAATCTCTTTGTAACATATTCTTATATGTTTAACTTTATTTATTTAATTATGTTCCTAGAATCCTTTGAAACTTTCTAAGTAGTATACATTCCCACAAATACTCCTTCAGGATGCTTAATGAATTCTAAAATTGCCCCACCAATTTTCCATTTTTTTTTTGTTTCTTCAGTTTGTTTCAAGTTGATTCAGTATATTCTTTGAAAATTTCTATAGCTCTCTCTCCCATTTACTGACTATCTTCCATACTCTAATCTTATTTGCTACCAAAATGTACTGTAAAATAGAGAAATATTCTTTTGGCATTTCCTCATAAATAATCTTTCTTGCTACTATTGACTCATATTTGTATAGAATATTGTGTAGGATTATTTATTAATGGTATGTAAGTCATTATGGGTACACCAAGTCATTATGAGTATATATTACAATTATGTTTCCCTTAAGATCTAAACTCTCCCTGATTATGATTCAAACAGTTTTGTCTTTAGGCCATAGCAGTATATTTCACTAGTCTCTTCTCAGTCTGAGTACCTCTCTCAGTTATAGTTATTCAAAATCATGCCACTTTTTCTCTTTGATTTTTAATTTATTCTTTCTAAGCAAGTGGGTTATTAGATATTGGGTACTACCTGACCCATTTCTATTGACTGTCCTATGATTTCACACTTTCTCCTTCAAAATGAAAGTGTAACTCTTTGCTACTATTTCTGATGATCTAAACTTATTTTATTGTTGTCCATGTCAAATTGTCTTATTTAAGATGGAAAGGACCAGCATATCTAAAATTATGAGGTAATAAAAGGTAGCATTTAAAACAACTGGCTCTCAAGCCATATTGCTCAGCTGACTCTAACAACCACTTACTAGCTGTGTTGATCCTCATTAAGTTACACCACCTATATGCCTCAGTTTTCTGAATGGTAAAATGGAGAAAATTGATAATAGCTATTTCAGAATAAAATTCTAACACTTAAAAAAATGCCTGTTGTAATTTGGTTCCATTGGGGTTAATTTATCAAGAGCTTAAAATTTAAAGCCTAGAATTAAGAAACATTATCCAGGAAGAATGTTTAAATTGGAATCCAATAAACTGGAAATAATTTTACCACTTGGGATCTATTTTCATTAATTTTGAAACCAAATGATGAGAATTTGGCAATGATTAATAATAGATTCAAAGAAAAGGAAAAGAGTCCAATTAGAAAAGCTGGGCTGATGAGTTCTTAGAACCATCATCATAGTTACGCTTATATTGAGTCTACACAGGTGTACGTAAGAAAATGAGGTTTTTGACTCATGGATCAGCTCTTATAGGTAGTTTTTATGTCTGTGAATTTTATTTAATATTGAAGAACTATCTTCACTTATTTCTAGATCAATGACAACACATATTCTGGAGTAGTCAGGAACCTCAGCTACCAGTCAGCTTAGGTAGTAGTTCAGCCAGGTGCTTAACTGAAGGAGATTCATTCAGTGAATGTACACTAGAATTCTACTATGGCCCAGACATGCGAACAGTAACACACAAGATTAATATGAAGCACACAGGTCTGTTGAATTATATAACATGTATCTTGGAAGGAAGGGACATTTGAGAAGGTGCTTAAAATAAGTGATTTAATACACAGTGAGAAAATAACTTCACATGATGGAAATATAATATAAAAAATAGTAGTATAATAAAACATAAGTAGTGCTCTGAAAGAACAGAAGAGGGTTCTTCTCTAGAGAGTGTATTCATATTCCCTCTGAGAATAGGTTTAAAATATAATGAAAACACTTTTTTGAAAAGGTGGGAAAGAAAAATTCATGCAAAGGAAAAAGTAAAAAGACCTGAAGGTAGAGAATAGGTTCTTTAAGGACAGTTAGAAGAACTGTGCTTGGGAACAAAATGGACAAAGGAGAGAGTCATAACATATGCATTTGGAGAAGGCTACAGAAACCAAAACCATTCATCATAATTATTCAGACCACAGAATTGTGTGACCATCCTGGGGACCAATGATGACATGGAAAAACAACAATGAAATGAGAACATTGCTGTCCATTAACTTAAGGTAAAACTGGAAAGTCAGAGGACATCTTTGAAAGAAGGTGACTGACTTTCATTACCATACTTGGAGAACTGAGAATGCTTAGGAATAGTAAAGCTCCAGGGAAGATGAAATTCTCAAACCTAGTAAGTCTTCTATGCTACTTCAAGGCCATGTTTGGAAAAGAGTGGGGCAGTGAGTCATAGAATGAAGACATCTGAGCTGTCACACCTAAAAATTTTGAAACTTTTGCTTAAAAAATAAAAGAAAATGACAATATCAATAATTGGGGGGGCACAAATTTAAAGTTGGTTGGGGAAATATTATTGATATAGGAGCAATCCCCTATGATATAACATTTTTTGTAAGAACCTTTGAAATGGTACTATTATGTGGCTAGTTTGATTCTTGGAAATTTTATTTTACTAACTGAAATAAAGATGCTAGAAATGCCATCATCTCACACAATATAGAAATGTATAAAAACACTCAGAGATCTGGATATGATGAAATGGACATATTATAAAATGCTCATACACCAGTAGCCAATTATATTTTATGAAAGGCAATAGAGAGGATTTATCAAGTGAATTCAGAATTAATACACTGATGAGAGAGGGACTGTCACCACTGAGAATCTAGCGATGACTGGCCTCTATAGCCTGGAATAAAGGAGGCACGTACTATTACGGACTGTGTGCCTGCTCAGTTGTGTACGACTTTTTGTGACACCCATGGACTGTAGCCTGACAGGCTTCTCATGAATTTTCCAGGCAAGAATACTGGAATGGGTTGCCATTTCCTTCTCCACGGGAATCTTTCCTACCCACGTCTCTTGTATCTCCTGCATTGGCAAGCAGGCTCTTTACAAGCTAAGTCACCAGGGAAGCCCTTACGTACTATCATGCTGCTGCTAAGTCGCTTCAGTTGTGTCTGCCTCATAGATGGCAACCCACCAGGCTCCCCCATCCCTGGGATTCTCCAGGCAAGAATACTGGAGTGGGTTGCCATTTCCTTCTCCAATGCATGAAAGTGAAAAGTTAAAGTGAAAGTCACTCAGTCATGTCCGACTCTTAGCGAACCCATGGACTGAAGCCCACCAGGCTCCTCCGTCCATGGGATTTTCCAGGCAAGAGTACTGGAGTGGGGTGCCATTGCCTTCTCCTACATACTATTATAGAACTAGTAAATACAAGATAAAATAATATCATCTTAATAGAACTTAGTCATATCAAACAAGGTAGTAAATTTTTCTTTGTAGTGAAAGTGAAGGTCACAGTATTGGTCAAGGGTCCTGATGCAGAAAGAAACATGGAGACGGTTAATATAATATGGCATTCCAGGGGGCAGATAAATGTCAGCTAAAAAAAAAAAAAAGCTATTTTTCAATGTATACAACCAAAAGAAACCAAAGATAGGTCATCAGGAGGCTGAGAGCAACTACTTCAGTGGAAATGTCACAATACTTTGCTCAGTTTTCAACTTGAGACAATTTCCAGATCCAGAATCCAAATCCAGACTACAGGAGAAGCTGTGTTTCCAAGAGCAAGAATATTGCAACAGTATTGCAAGTTTTCTGGGAGATGAATCTCCTAGTGGAGTCCAGTCCTATAACAGATATATTTGTAACTGACATGATACCAGAAACTCAAAGTATCACTATACCCTCTTACTACAATGAGAAAAAAAAAAAAAAAAAAACAGGGAAAAGGTTAAAATGGAGACCGGTTTCAACTTTGATTCACAGAGGAATCAAAATCCAGTTTCATTCACAAAATTCAGTAATTATTTACTCCCTTTCAAAACTATAATTTAAAAGGACATATGTAGCAGACAGCAGAAACTCCACACTCATTTCTTGAACAGTGGGTAAGAGACTGTACAAGAGAAGATTGAGAGACTTTCCAACGGTCCTTCTGCAGATAGTAAATAAAAACAACATTGCTTCTTGTGAGGAAAGGTAGAGAACAAAATACTCATTACAACAAACTTAGATGTTGAAGAATGATTACCCTATTCATATCCTCATTTAATTCCCCAATCTGATCCCCACACAAGTCTAACACAGTCAAAGGTTTTGTCTCTATTTAAACAAATCATGAAGGTGGAGAAGGAGTTAATGGACTACTGAAAACACAACCAATGAACGGCAGCAATTGCAATGCTGTGCCACAAGTTTTTGGTTTTTTTTTTTTTGCTAGATTCCTTGGTTATATAACATATGACATTGATCTGGCAGATTCATTATTTTCCAACTATACCAGGAAGAAAGTTAAACAGTTCACATTAACAGGGAAAAAGAGCAAAAATGGCATAAAAATTCAGGCACACTCGGGTCTTGTTAATTCTCCTACTGTTCTGATACAGTTCAAAGGATGCTGAACAATCAATAGATTCTGGATAATATAAAACTAGTTTATTTTAATGAAATAGTCGAACCATTAATAGAAATTTTATTGGAG